GAACACAAAGTTATCCCAATGCCACTAGCAAAATGCTTGTGATTGTTAGACGAACACTACTCTCCACAATGATATGATATTGTCCACTTTGAGCATAAGCTCTCATGGCTTTGCTTTGGGCTTCCCCAAAAGGCCTCAGCCAATGGAGTTAGTATTCCTCACTTATAAACCCATGATCACACCCTAAATTAGTCGATGTGGGACTTCCATCATCCAACACCTCCCCTCGAACAAAGTGCGCCTCCCCTTAATCGAGGCTCGACTCCTTTGGAGTCTTAGTCATTTTTGACGGCCTTCGAGGAGGGGCTTAGCTCCTTTTCTTTAAGAGTTCTTTGTTCGATATTTGAGGATTTACCAATCTATTGGCACGACTAAGTTTAGGGCATGGCTCTGATACCATGTTAGACGAACACTACTCTCCACAATGATATGATATTGTCCACTTTGAGCATAAGCTCTCATGGCTTTGCTTTGGGCTTCCCCAAAAGGCCTCAGCCAATGGAGTTAGTATTCCTCACTTATAAACCCATGATCACACCCTAAATTAGTCGATGTGGGACTTCCATCATCCAACAGTGATTACCGACCACAACCCCACAGTAATACCTGCAAGCATCAAACAACCAGGTAATCTTAGAATGATCTCTGCCATACAATTGAAAAAAGGACTCGCATGAGAGGAACCCACATTTATGGCTATACCCCTGATGGAAGAAGTGACCACTGAGGAAACTATTTCGAGCGAAACCAAGAATGTACTAGACAGTTATGCCGACATAATGCCAGAGAACTTACCACAAACATTACCACCTCATCGAGGCATCAATCACGAAATTGAACTCCTCCCCAGGGTTAAACCCCCAACAAAGAACGCATATCGGATGGCTTCCTCTAAACTAACCGAATTGAGGAAACAACTAGATGAGTTATTGGCGGCAGGATTCATTCGCCCTGCAAAGGCACCTTATGGAGCCCTCGTACTGTTTCAGAAAAAGAAGGATGGGACGTTGCGTCTATACATACATTATAGAGCCTTAAACAAGGTGACTGTACGCAACAAATACCCGCTGCCGATAGTATCCGACTTGTTTGATCAGCTTCACGGGGCCAAATACTTCACGAAGATGGACTTACAATCAAGGTACTACCAAGTACGTATTGTTGAAGGGGACGAGCCCAAGACGACGTGCGTAACAAGATACGAGGCTTTTGAGTTCCAGGTAATGGCCCTTTGGCCTGACAAATACCTCAGCTACGTTTTGCACGTTAATGAACCAGGTTTTCCACGAATATCTGGATTAGTTCGTCGTGGTATACCTCGACGACATAGTTGTCTACAGCACAACCCTAGAGGAACACAAGATGCACCTGAAGCTAGTGTTGGACAAGCTGCGGCACAATCAGTTGTATGTCAAGAAAGAAAAATGTGTCTTCGCACAAACATGCATCAACTTCCTTGGACATGTCATCAGTTGTGGACAGATCAGTATGGATAGTGACAAGATAAAAGCTATCCAAGAGTGAAAAATTCCTACTTCCGTATCCGATGTACAATCCTTCCTGGGATTGACAAATTATTATAGGCAGTTCGTCGAAGGGTTTTCACGATGAGCCGCCCCATTAACAGAACTTCTGAAGAAAGACCACCCTTGATCATAGTCAAATGAATGTCAATCAAATGGCTTTCGAAGATCTGAAGGCAACCATGACGAAGGGTCTTGCCCTCGGATTGGTGGATGTTCCTAAGCCATTAAATAGAGACAGATGCTTCTGACTTTGCCCTAGGCAGTGTCCTTATCCAAGAAGGTCACCTCATCGCTTGTGAAAGTCGAAAGCTCAATGATGCAGAAAGGAGGTACACTGTCTCTGAAAAAGAAATGTTAGTTGTGGTCCATTGCCTACGAGTCTGGAGACAATACCTCCTGGGATCACAATTTGTGGTGAAGACGGATAACAGCGCCATTTGTCACTTCTTCGATCAACCGAAGTTGATGGCAAAACAAGCTTGGTGGCAATAGTCGTTGGCTGAATTCAACTTCAAATTTGAACACAAGACAGGAAGGAGTAACCAAGCAGCCGACACGCTGAGTCAGGAAGGGCGAACATGCTGCTCTGTGCATGTTAGCCCATATTCACTCAAGTAAGATTGATGGATCGATGCGCGACATCATCAAAGAACATTTACATAGAGACCTGTCGGCCAAAGCCGTCGTTGAACTAGCCAAAGTTGGGAAGACACGACAGTTTTGGGTCAAGGGAGACCTTTTAATGACAAAGGGAAACATATTATACGTCTCAAGAACACAAGAACTAAGGAAGAAACTCATTCAAGAATGCCGTGATACTTTATGGGCCAGACACCCTGGGCGGCAACGAACTTATGCCTTAATCAAAAAAGGGTATTTCTTGTCAAATATGCGAGATGACATAATGTAGTACACCAAGACGTGCCTCATCTGCCAACAGGACAAAGTCGAGAAAGGCAAAGTCTCGGGACTCTTGGAACCTCTACCGGTGCCAACAAGGCCTTGGAAAAGTGTCTCTGGACTTCATAACACACTTCCCAAAAGTCGAGGAGTATGAAGTCATCTTGGTTATCATAGACCGATTCTTGAAGTACGCAACGTTCGTTCCCACCCCAAATTATGCTCGACCGAACTAACAGCCTAACTATTTTTCACACACATTGTGAAGTTATGGGGCATTCCGTCGAGCATCATCAATGATAGGGATGGTAGATTCATTGGCACATTCTGGACTGAGTTAATCGTCTTCTTGGGAACGACTTTAGACATCTCCTCGAGCTACCATCCCCAAACCGATGGACAGACAGAACGATTCAACTGCTTGCTCGAAGAATACTTACGTCACTTCGTCGACGCTCGTCAGAAGAACTGGATACAACTACTAGATGTCGCTTAATTCTGTTTCAATTGTCAAACGAGTTCGTCTACAGAAAAAAACTCCTTCAAAATTGTAAGTGAACGATAACCGACCTTACCCCATATTATTGATCGTTATGCAGGAAAAAACCCTCAAGCTCAAAAATTCACCAGAGAATAAAAGCAGACAACAGATATAGTCCGGGCGTATTGGAAGAAAGCTTCCAAACATATGAAGAAAAGAAGTGTCGCCCCCTCCAATTTCGAGCAGGAAACCACGTCCTCATCAAGTTGAGGCCCGAGCAGATTAGATTCCGCAGTCGAAAAGACCAAAAACTAGTTCAAAAATATGAAGGCCCAGTTGAAGTCCTAAAAAAGATCGGGGTTACTTCTTATACTCCCCCTCCCCCTCCCTACCAACCATGTAATGAAGTTTTAAAAGGTTGTGGGTTGTTAGTTACTGGCAGGAAGGTTTGAATTTTTTTTTTTTTTTTTTCCCTTAAATTCAAACCGTTACACATCATAGTCTTTAAATAGTTTAAAACTTACCCTTCACTTTAAAATCAATCTAACCTATTAAAAAGATTTTAAAATTGTATATTGAGAACTTAGATAAATATGATTAGACTAATTTATCTAGATAATAATTAAAAAAAAAAAAAAAAATAATAATGTTGTATGTATCTAATGCAAGACCCGTCGATAAGCTAAGATTGCGACCAAGCCCTTCCACCCTAAAAGCAAAGACCAAACAACTACCAAGTTGTCGAGGACACATCTGAAGAGGAGGCGGGTATACCCTCTGTAAGATCTCACATTGGTTAGATAGAGGAACAAAACATTTTTTATAAAAGTACAGAAACCTCTCCCTAGTAAACATGTTCTAAATCTTTGAGGAAAAGCCTAAAGAGGACAATATTTACGAGTGGTGAGCTTGGGCTATTACTAATGATATCATAGCAAGACACCAGATGTGCTAGCAAGTAAAACCTTAAAACAACAAAAAGAAAAACAGTAAAGTGGAAAATAAATAACATATATTTTTCAAGTGAAAAACAGTTAAAGTTAGATTATGTTAGGTCATTATATATTTTTCCTATTCGTTTCAAATGCTAACTTAAGGACACAAAAAGACAAAATGCAACTACCCTAACATTTGACCCATGACCTTCATCGTGACATAGTCATCTGTATAGGGGTGTCTTATCTTTACTTGAAAAATAAAAGTAGCGTGTGACTTGAGTATTTTAAGAAATACTCTATAACTAATCCCACTGTCTGGGTCAAAAAATACAAATACATGCAACATGGTGGAACCTATCATTTAAAAACATCATGGCATGGCCTTAGGCAGCTTTCTAGTCCAATAAAGGTTGGATGTGTAATACTTCTTTACACACGGGCCACACATGCGAACATCGGCCTACCAGACGAGCTCGCACCCCCTAGCCTAGCTTGTCGAGGCTAGCACTTACTAACCGAGTGTGTTAGATGTCACAATCACACTTGTGCAGTAGCAAGACAGTAATTGTGCGATACTTGTCTAACTTAGCGAACAAGTCAGCCATGTGAAATTCAGACTTTGTGGACAATATCGACGTATGCTCAAGCCTTGAGTCACTATGAGAGAAATATCTTAGAAAAGTGGTCGAGGAAATACGTTAAAAATAATTTTAAAGAAAATAATGTTATAAGCTAAAAACGAGGAAGCAATTACGACGACTTTGATAGCATATAACCTAGGTAGGAAGAATTGACAACTAATCATATCCTTTATAGTACATTATGTGGCATTTTAGCTCTGGTGGATGCAGACATGATTTTGGTGACCGACTATACACCCTCGTATTAACACAATAATAATAGTAAAGACTTATCTAACATGAAAGCAACATGCCTTAAACAAGCATGATCGTGACACCAAACATCACGGAGGGAGAGGGCTCACATCACATCATGACAAACATATAAATGTCGTAAGTCATAATGTACGCGTTCATATTCATCATAACAAGGAAGTATTCTTAAGCACATGGGACACAAAGATGCATTGGTCCCCATAGCTTAAAATCGTAACATACTTTATGATGTAAGTCAAACCTTCATTCATCTATAACATAATGAATCTGTGATTATACATACATAATCCGTGTCAATTCTTTCATACATAGCATAGCTTTCATCATGGTCTATGGAAGTTTATAGATCATAGATTATCGAAATCATAACATTTTATGCGACATGATAGTCACAATATAACTTGACTTATATACATGACATAACACTTATATACATGACATAACTCAACATAGCATAACAACAAACAACATGGCATAGCATAGCATATCTTCTATACATATGACATGTGCAAGGGTCACGGGACACGCGTCATTATAGATAATACAATTCATCCAACTAGACCAATAATAGAGAAACTTACTTGGTTGGCTTAAACCACAATCTCTAAGTATTTCTAGAGCTAGCTCGATGCTATCCCTCAAAGTTCGTTTCATCCTAGGTGGACCCATGATATCGTATTAAGACATATTAACAAACTTAATTTACCTAAAATAACAGATAATTCCAACTTCAAACTCAAAATAATTTACCCTAACCTTAAATGTCTTTAATAAGATCAAAAACATCTGAAAGGGTTGAAAATGTAGGAATCGGTACCAAACAGTGCAGCGTGGGTCGCAACTCCGATTAACGCACAATTCGTGGGTTGAAGCGTAGGTCACGAGTCGCCTGCATGCTGGACCGATATCGTCCAATAGGTTGGGCCGAGCGTCGATCCTAGGCTAGACGCCTAGTTACTACTTGGGCTATGAACTGAGTTACGTAGAGGTTGGGTCCGGTGAACGTTTGCCGGCTACTAGGCCACCCAAAACTGAACCGAATCCCAACCCGTGGACTTCGTCTTCTCAACCCGATTTCCCGAAAACTCTCCTATGTTTCTGATCAATTTTTTCAATGATCATCCACACGATTTGCCTCGTTTGGGTTTGATTTCCTTCCTCCTCTATTTGTGATGACAGTGGTATCTAAAAACAGCAAACAAGACGTAAGATACTCTCGTTCCTCTTTCCCAAATTTTTCAATTCGACGACGCAAAATAGTGGAAAAAACAACCACGATTAGACTTACCATTGGATGTTTGATGCTTTATTTCCGACAAGATTCATTTTTTTTAAACTAACTACTGTTAAATCCTTATGCACTGAGGACTATGGGGGCAAGCAAACAAAAACCTACCAAGAATTAGAACTGCTTGACTAATAACCCCTAAATACTAAATTTCATCAAAGTTGAGATGATGAAACCAATCATCAGCGCAAATGCGGAGTTTTGCCTTTGTAGCGTTAGCCGCAGATTAAGGATCATGCAGAGACCCCAAGTCACTTATAGTTAGACCTCCACTTTATAGGTTCTATCATCACCCAAACCTAGTCCAACTACTTAATATAACTTTATGAGTCATAAAGTACAAAGGACTTCTACATAAATTATCGGTAAGGCTTCTTCTCTCGTCATTATTTAACTTGTTTTTCACTTGTCTTCAAGTACTCATTACCCACATTCTTGACTCACTCCACAAAGCCAGCAGCATTTTATATATACATATATATATCCATCATCACAAAACGACATTCATATAAAATCAAGAAGAAAAGGCCACTTCACTACACTTTTCTCTTCCTAATTTAATATTTCATTTGAAAACAGCATATCCCATGAACATTCTTTTGATTCAATTCAGCTAATCTGCAGCTGTATATAATATAAAAAGGGAACTCTAGCTCTGCATGTAAATTAGAGGCTGCAACAAATAAAAGAAGATGACTCATGAAGAGAAAAGGCAAGAAGATACCTCCATTGATGATGCTTTGCCATTCCACAAGCTTCTTGGCTATGCTGATGCTTTGGATTGGGTCTTAATGGCTTTGGGGACATTGGGTTCTGTTGTCCATGGCATGGCTCAGCCAATTGGGTATCTGTTGCTTGGCAAAGCACTTGATGCATTTGGAAATAATATCGATGACCTTGATGCAATGGTTGATGCCCTCTATGAGGTATACTTACCAATTGTGTTCATATTATTATTTTGTATAGAAAGGTACTATGTGAGGATTTATTTTGTTTTCATGTTTTGGTAGGTGATTCCATTTGTATGGTACATGGCCATCGCCACTTTCCCTGCAGGAATACTTGGTAAAATCCCTTTCTTCCTTCAACAATATTTGAATCAATCACTTCACATATGGAAAGTATACTTACATTTTCATTCTCTCTATAGAAATTGGGTGTTGGATGTATGCAAGTGAGAGACAGACGGCTCGCCTAAGATTGGCGTTCATGCAATCAGTGCTTAGTCAGGAAATTGGTGCTTTTGACACAGATCTCACGACTGTCGAAATAATCACTGGAATCAGTAGTCACATGAACATTATACAGGATGCCATTGGAGAAAAGGTAAACAATTAATTTGTTAAATGTTGAGAATCGTTGGGAGAGGAGTCCCACATCGGCTAACTAAGGGGTTGCTCATGAGTTTATAAGTAAGGAATACATCTCCATTAGTATGAGGTCTTTTAAGGCCTTTTGGGAAAACCAAAAGCAAAGCCACAAGAGCTTATGCTCAAAGTGAACAATATCATACCACTGTGGAGAGTCGTGGTTTCTAGCATTAAATTCCCACACCACTATGAAACAAATGATTAAATTTATCGTTATCTATCGACTTACAATTTTAGATTAGAGACCGACTAACATGATATCAAGTATGCTAGAGATAAAAGAAACGGTTTATCATTCTTTTCTACTAAACCTTCTCTAATATTGCATGGATACAGTTGGGGCATTTTCTATCAAGTGTGGCGACTTTCATTAGTGGATTTGTGATTGCTATCATAAGCTGTTGGGAAGTGTCATTGCTCACACTCTTGGTTGCTCCATTGGTTCTTGCAATTGGGGCTACTTATACCAAGAGGATGACTGTCATTTCCTCTCACAAAATGGGTTACCAATCACAAGCTACTTCCTTGGTCCAACAGGTAAAGATGCCAACAGAATTACAAGTTATTTTTTGAATGTATAGAACAAATATGTTACCTGATATGTATGGAGCAGTCAATATCTCAAATCAGAGCAGTGTACGCATTTGTGGGAGAGAGAGGCTGCATGAAGGCGTTTGCAGAGCAATGCGAGAAACTGATTGTGATGAGCAAGCAAGAAGCATTGGTGAAGGGAGTGGGCATAGGAATGTTTCAAACTGTCACTTTTTGCTGTTGGAGTCTCATTGTATGGATTGGAGCCGTTGTCATTACTGCGGGAAGGGCCAGTGGAGGGGACATCATAGGTGCTGTTCTAAGCATTCTCTTTGGAGCAATGTAAGTAATTAACACTAAACTACAAAAGAAAGAATGTTAACATATCAAAATATATAATCCAAAATGAACCAAAGATGTGAAATATCATCAAATGAAAAAATCTCTTCTTTTATGGGTTGCAGCTCACTGACTTACGCTGCACCAGACATGCAAATATTCAACCAGGCAAAGGCGGCAGGGAAGGAAGTTTTCCAAGTCATTCAAAGGAAGCCCCCTGCAATTGACGGTTTAGAAGACAAGATATTGGAGCATATTGAAGGAAATATCGACATACGAGAAGTTCACTTTGCTTACCCGTCTCGACCTCAGAAACTAGTCCTTCAAGCCTTTTCTTTGTCCATTCCAGCAGGGCAGACCATAGCCTTAGTCGGTCGCAGCGGGTGTGGAAAGAGTACAGTAATCTCTCTCGTCGCTAGATTCTATGACCCTCTCCAGGGTATGCCTCCACCAACTCTTTGCCTCTTCATCCTCTTTCTCTCTCTTATTTTACATCATCTTCTTAGTTTTGGCCTTCATGTCAATCTTGAATTGGCTTTTCTTCAGGAGACATTTTCATAGATCATCAGAACATCAAGGATCTGAATCTGAAATTCCTCAGGAATAACATAGGAATAGTTTCCCAGGAACCTGTACTTTTTGCTGGAACCATCAAGGATAACATCAAAATGGGAAAACTAGATGCAAATGATCAACAGATAGAAAATGCAGCAATAATGGCGAATGCACACTCTTTTATATCAGACCTTCCAAAGCAGTACTTAACAGAGGTAAGACTATGAGAGTCAAAACAACTTTCCTTAGCTATCAATGCCATTTCGTGCCAGAATTCAAAGTTTCACCTAATTTTAATAATTCAAGGTGATTGAGAATTCTACCATAGAATACTAAAACATTGAATTCTACCATAGAATACTGAAACATTTAGGAGCGCCTATAAAATATATGGTTGTTTCCAAGATGCCTAACAAATGAATAATAAGCATGTGGGTCAAAAATTTCAGGCTGGACAAGGGGGAACTCAACTGTCAGGAGGTCAAAAGCAAAGAATAGCTATCGCGAGAGCCATTCTCAAGAACCCGCGAATTCTCTTACTGGACGAGGCCACAAGTGCATTAGATTCAGAATCTGAGAGGTTGGTTCAGGACGCCCTCGAAAAGGCTATAGTTGAGAGGACAGTCATTTTGGTTGCCCACAGAATGTCGACTATTATTGGTGCAGATATGATTGCAATCATAGAAAATGGAAGAGTCTCAGAGACAGGAACACACCAAAGTTTGCTAGAAACAAGTAAATTCTATAGTAACCTATTCAGCATGCATAATATCAAACCAATTCAAGACTCAAGGTTTGTTCTTCGTACTAAATAAACCCCATTTGCTTCAAAAGAAAACATAACTAACTAGTATGAATTGTTTATTAATGGACAGCAACTCAAATTCATTGTCAGAACCAGGGAGTACCCATCAACAAGCTTCATCTTGTGACCTTGATCAAGATGAAAAACCGGAGCCAAAAAATTTCGAAAGAGATTCTTTGAGCCAAGAAGGGAAAGAGAGACCAAAAGAAATATTCTTTAGAATCTGGTTTGGCCTGAGTAATATAGAGATTATGAAGACTATTTTTGGATCTTTTGCAGCAGCTTTGTCTGGCATCTCAAAGCCTATCTTTGGATTCTTTATCATAACAATAGGGGTAGCCTACTATCACAAAAATGCGAAGCACAAAGTTGGATTATACTCCCTCATCTTCTCTCTGGTGGGATTACTATCACTTTTTACGCACACCTTGCAACACTATTTCTTCGGAGTAGTGGGAGAGAAGGCAATGAAAAACTTCAGAGAAGCTCTCTATTCAGGTACAACTTAAGAACACTTTTCTTTGATTGGTTAAAGGGGAATTTTAGGAGGATATTATGAAGTCAGAAAAAGCTTCTAATATTACCTAGACTAATCCAATTTTTTCGATGAATTATTTTAGCTGTACTACGCAATGAAGTAGCATGGTTTGACAGACCTGAAAACAACGTTGGTTCACTTACATCACAAATAATGAACACTACCTCCATGATAAAGACCATAATAGCTGATCGAATGTCTGTTATTGTGCAATGCATCTCCTCCATTCTAATTGCCACCACTGTCAGCTTGATCGTCAACTGGAGAATGGCTCTCGTTGCTTGGGCTGTCATGCCTTTCCACTTTATTGGTGGCCTGATACAAGCCAAGTCTGCCAAGGGATTTGCAGGAGATTCTGCTGCTGCTCATCATGAACTAGTTTCGCTAGCATCCGAGTCAGCAACCAACATAAGAACTATTGTATCTTTCTGCCATGAAGAACAAATAATGAAGAGAGCAAGAATGACATTAGAAGAACCAAAGAGAAAAAGCAAGAGAGAAAGCATCAAATATGGAATCATTCACGGAATCTCCCTTTGCTTATGGAACATTGCCCATGCCATTGCTTTGTGGTACACGGCAATTTTGGTTCACAAAAGACAAGCCTCCTTTGAAGATGGCATAAGATCATACCAGATTTTCTCCCTCACAGTGCCCTCAATCACTGAATTGTGGACATTAATTCCAACTGTCATCTCAGCCATTGACATACTAACTCCGGCATTCCACACGCTTGATCGAAAAACTCTTATTGAACCAGAAATACCAAAAAGTCCAGAAACAGAGAAAATTGAAGGGAGAATTGATTTTCAAAGTGTAAAATTTAATTATCCATCAAGGCCAGAAATTGTTGTTCTTACAAACTTCAGCTTACAAATCAAAGCAGGATCAAAGGTGGCTCTTATTGGACCAAGTGGTGCTGGAAAGTCCTCTGTTTTGGCACTTCTGCTCAGATTCTATGACCCTGAAGAGGGCAAGATCCTCATTGATGGGAAGGATATAAAAGAATACAATCTGAGAATATTGAGGACACAGATAGGATTTGTGCAACAAGAGCCTGTTCTATTTAGCTCCTCGATCAGATATAATATTTGCTACGGGAGTGAGCAGGCCGCTGAAACTGAACTTTTAAAGGTGTCAAGAGAAGCTAGAGTACATGAATTTGTCAGTACCTTACCTGATGGATATGATACACTTGTTGGAGAAAAAGGTTGCCAACTATCAGGAGGACAAAAGCAGAGAATAGCAATTGCTAGAACTCTTTTGAAGAAGCCAGCAATTTTGCTCCTAGATGAACCAACGAGTGCATTAGATGCTGAATCTGAAAGAACTTTAGTTAGTGCTTTAGAGTCAATAAACGGGAACAATGGACTCAGAACTACTCAGATTACAGTTGCCCATCAGCTCTCTACAGTGACAAACTCAGACGTTATTGTAGTCATGGATAGAGGTGAGATTGTGGAGATAGGTTCACATACCTCCCTGTTGACAGCTCCTGATGGAATGTATTCAAAACTCTTCAGAATACAGAGTCTCGCTGATGATTAATATCTTAAATCCATACAGGTAGGATAGAAGTCTAATATCCTTATATAAAAGACCGCTAAAATAATTAATTAATTGAAAAACTAGGTTCTACAAATGAAAGCTTTTTAGATTAAATATACGTCAATGGCCTGTGTGTCAGAGAACAAAGAAGGTACAATATGTTCATCTAAAGCTCCAGAAAGAGGCTATCAATTTTCTTCAGCAATTCCAAGTCAGCCCCAGCAGCAATTCCAGAATCAATATAACACAACTGAAAAAAGATTTATTAAGTACATAGTCACCATCCAATAACCTGGAATTTTAACTTATAAGTTCATCATAAAGTAAAGAAAACCTGGTATTGTGGCTTATTCAGCGTATGAGTTCCTCTTTTTATTAGTTTCTGCCATCCATTATTCTCTCTAAGTGCCTTTTCAATGCCTTTAGTACTCTGCATAACACATCATGAGATCACAAGAATGAAACATGAAAAAAAGAAAGCAATTCCTAATAATTAATCAACTGAAATTTCCAAGTGCAAGAAGGAAGAGGAAGAAGAGTTTCTCCTTTTCTTTAATGAATATATCTATATATAAGAAACGGTAACTTTTATTAAGAAAACCATTGTAAAGAACTTCCAAGCATCCATATACAACTGCGAGAAACAACAATGAAATCAAGACACACATGGCTATACGCATACTCAAACCACCTGTCAATAAGTGTTGTGATATTTAAGCAAACTTCAAGATGAACAAACACATTGAGAAAAATGCATGCCAACTAAAATATACCAATTATTCAACTAAGAGTATTTGCAAGGAAATGAACCTTTAAGCTGAGTAACGAGTTAATAATGTTTAAGCAACAAACAAATATCCTTTTTTCCAGTTGAATATTGGGCAACAAAGAAAAATGACAGCTGCAAAGATAGGGCACACAAATGAAATTGCAGGGGCAGAAAATTACATGAGCTGGGTCCAAAATCAGGAGATTGTATTGCTGCATTCCATTACGCTGCTGTTTAACTTGAATCCCCACAATGGTCCTAGAATGTCCATCATGCTGAAAGAACAATGGCCTAGTTGAAAAGATCTAATGAAGTTAAAGAAAATGATGGGACATTCTTTCTTGTATTACAGAAAAGAAACTATGTTGATCAAATCAATGGAACCATTTGAAAATTGAAACATGTCGTGACACCTTCCACATCATCATGATAATCAATATATACATAATGTACTTTTATATGAAAAGACAAACAGAGTGTCATGCTTTATTAATATCCAAAGAATACAAGGGAAGGCACACAAGAAATCCACCAAAAGAAACGAAAGAGAATTAGAAAAATACTCTCCAATGAGTTAAAATGGAATAATTACAAAATTACTTAGAAAGAAGACCCCATTTAGAAGCATTGAGATGATGATATCCTAAGAGTCCTTCCAAAAAGTCTCTCAAGCAAAACAATCTACAATTATCTAATGCCAAACACATTATACATAGACAAATGGATGTTAAAATAAACACAAAAAGATAGATTAAATGCCAATTAAAGACGTACGTTTTTCCACTAACATTAACGTGCTGGTGACTATACGTGCATATCCTTCCATCAGAGAAGTAATTCCATACCCAATCAACCAGAACCTGATGACCTTTCGCTTTCTGAGTGGACTTATTTTCCAAGACACTTCGAGAATATTTGGACTTCTCATGCCCACTAGAACCAGTTTGTGGAACACCGTCATTTCTACTTACAAGAAACCTATCCATGGGCCCATTAACCTTAGCTGTTTTTCTCTTATTTGCATCAATTAAGTTTACCATTTGTGCCCCACTACTTGAACCAGGGACGGAGAGATAAAGTTCCTCGCACTCTTTAGGACCAAAATCAACTATCCTTGCCTGAAGCCCATAGGAACGCAAAAGGGCAGCACATTCAGTGGCTCCAATCCAATTTTTTCTGCCATAAATTTTGTAATTAAAATGCTCTGCACCAGGTACATCAAATCCTTTTTTCCAAGCAATCTCAAGCCATCTCTGAAGTGATAGAATATCAGGAACAACTCCTGATCCACCAAATAAAACGTTTCTAGCTTCTGGTCTTTGCATTATCAAATGAGAGCAAAGCATTTGAATGTTCCGCCATCCACAGCCCCACCCAAGATCCTCAAATTCAATACACTGATAGTGATCAACATACCCTGACACAATACTAGTCGAGTCACTAGATTCTAATTCTAAGCAATTTCTTAATAAAGACATCAGACCACCTTCCACCTTATAAAAACCACTCCTATTCTGTAAACCAATCAGAGAAGAGATCTTTTCATTAACATTCAACTTTTCCTTCACCAAAGCCCCCCTCTCACAACTTAACTTGCTGCTATCCAAAGATCCCTCAAGCTTAATGGTTTCTTGATTAGCCTACAAAAAGAACCATTCAGGGACCAAATTACTGACATGAAGCCGTATGAATCATCTAGAAACCACAAACAACTAAAACAGCAGAACCAAGGCAACTGGAACTAAAAAGTTGGAACAACTTACATTGTCGTAAGGAGTAGAGGAAAGAGCCATCTGCTGGGCCAACTCAAAGTCCCTAGCAAGTTGGCGTTGTTTATCGTCATTGTCTTCATCTTCAAAGTGACCATTAGCGTGCCTGCAACGGCAACAACATAAAGAGACCTTCCTGAATCGTTCAGAAAACCCAAGCTACAGAAGCTTTCGAATCAAAAGTGAGCAAAATTTGGATATGAGGATCGAAAGAGTCGGTTTACGTAATCAAAGAACAAAGCAATGGATCGAAATTACAACAGAAGCGGTAGGAATTGTACCTCTGAAGTTCTTTTGATGGAACAACTTGGTCGCAGAAAGGGCAACTGGATGATGAATCCATTGAATCACAGGAACACAATCACAATCTAATGGCCTGCTTGCTCGAGAAATACCATATTACTCTTGAGCGAGAGCCAGATTGTATTTCTAAAATTGGGAAACTCGATCAATAAACTGATGAACAGACTACTGTTTTTTTCTTTATATTTTTTTCAATTTCCGTTTTTAATTAAACTTTTAATTATTAATTTTTAAAGATTAATCAGTCCTAAATTTCAATATTATTTTCAATATCCAAGTTAAATTTTGAAAATTAAGAAACAATTTTATTTTTGGAATTTAATCAAGAATTTAAATATTTACTTTAAAGAACGAAAACTATAAATAAGAATTTGTAAAAAAAATAAATAAAGACAGTTTTCAAAAATAAAAAATTAAATAATTATTAAACGTGGTTTAAATTTTTAATTTTGTATATACTATCTCTTGATTAAATTTATTATTTTTAAAAATGTGAATTTAATAGACATAAATTTTAAAATTAATATACTAAATATGTAATTTATAGGGGAGTACATTCAACCGACCATCCGAACCAACCCAACCCGAACTATAAGGGTTGGGTTGGGTTAGATTAGCATTTCGGGTAGGGTTGGGTTCATTTTTCTGAACCTGAACTGAATCGTTTCGAGTTCGTGGATAAAATCTTCGAGTTAACCCAAGCCAAATAAAAATATATAAATTATGTTAAGAATCTTTCCGTATTAATATGTTTGACAGAGTGGTACCTCGACCTCTCTAAATACACCCACACCCGAGTTTGACACTAGGGATATAGAGGGTTGGGTTGGGTTGGGTTGAAAAATTTATATATTTTTATTTGGTTCAGGTCAACCCGAAAGTTTTATCCACGAACCCGAAACATAACCGATTTAGTTCGGGTTCAGAAAAATGAACTCAACCCTACCCAAAACGCTAATCCAACTCAACCCAACCCTTATAGTTCGGATTGAGTTGGTCTAGGTTGTCAAGTTGTCGGGTCAAATGTACACCCCTAATTTGTAATACCCTACTTCACTAAAACAGTATCTAAACACAGAACGCAAGGAAGAGGGCTCGTAAAAACAGTTTTTACCACATGAATAAAGATTAAATTAATTTGTTTTAAAATCTCTTTTTTTCTCTCTCTCTATATATATTTATGAATATTAAAAAATTTCAATAATACTCTTATCGATATGGGTGATTCTTAACATGATATCGAAGTCATACCGCTAATTTAATCAAGTCAATAGAATCTTCAAGTGTCGAACAAATAAATTGTGAAATCTCGGAAGGTATAATCAAAGTGACCAAAGTGTCGAATGAAGAGTGTACTTTATTTGAGAACTTTCGAGAATGGGTCGAGCCTCGATCAAAAGAGATTGTTCAAGAGTTTCAAAGAAGGAAGCCTTAGAGCAGACTCTATGGTGTACTTTGTTCAAGTGATTTGATAGTACTCTATAAAATGAGGTGGAAAATCTAACTGATTATACTATATAAAATATATTGCCCAACTAATTATAGTAATGCAACCAAATATATTCCACAAATATCTTAAATCAAATTTCATAATATGTCTCTCAGAGAGTATATCAATCACACTCAACTTGTTTTTTAGAAAATTAAATTGTTGTCTTCCCAAAACTGTAGTAAAAACATTTGACAATTGCATTGGATGATTCCAGCTTGTAATTTTCTCCGAAATATATGACAATCTATTTCAATGTGCTTCGTACATTCGTGAAAAACTGAATTGATTGTTATATGCAATTCTGCTTGATTATCATAATACAACAATGTTGGTTCGGACAATGGAACTTTCAAGTCTTGAAGAATGTATCTCAGTCAAGCTAACTCTAAACAACTATTTGTCATAGCTTGATACTCGACTTCTGCCGATGATCTGGACGCATTGGTTTGCTTTTTAGACTTCCAAGAAATAATTGAATTTTACAGGAAGATGCAGAACCCAGAAATAGATCGTCTGGAAGTTCGACAACCACCTCAGTTAGAATCGCAATGTGCTTGTAATCTCAAGTTGTTTTCAGATGGTAGTAGAAGTCTTTGACCATGAATACCTTTGATGTTTCTCAAAACTCAAAGAGCTGCCTCCCAATGTGGTTTTCTTGGTTCATGCATGAATTGACTAAGCAT